TACGGCCCTGATCCTGATCTGGCCACCACTGTAATATAATAATAGGGATGGTCGAGTAGAGGCCAGTGAAAATCAGCCTTTTCATCCTCCTGGCATAGATTTACTGAGGCCTGGTCTACATCTTAAAACGGATCGACCGAGTTATGTCGCTCAGGGCTGGGGAAAATTTCCCACCATAGTGAGGTTGACCCAACGCCCACTATAGATGCAGCTAGGTCGATGGAAGGATTCCTCAGTCGGCTTAACTACTGCCTCTCGGAGAGGTGGATTAACTGCCTCCGCAGAAACCCCCCTTCCATTGACGTGGGAGGCGTCGAGGCTACAGCGGCCCAGCTGCAGCGCCGGAGCTGCCCAGCTGTAATGCGGAGGTGGCCGGGCTCTGCCCACTTTGTCTGCTCGTGCAGAGTTCTAGCCCAGCTGCCCTTATTGACTTTCAGTGGGACCCCGCTGGAGGCTCACCTGAGCCTTTCATCGTGTAAGGTTGGGACTCTGCGGGGAGAAAATCCGGTGGCTTGGAAAAGCCCATCGTCCACATCCCTCAGATGGCGGAAATCTTGCTGGGTCATGAGCTTTCCACCCTCTTGGACTGGGAGCCAATTGGACCTAGAAATCCGGGTTCTTCTGCCCTGAGATCTGATTTAGGATCAAAGCACCTGGCGGGACAGCCTTTGGATTTGGGGGTTCGAATCCAGTGACTGCCAATAAAATCTGGGGTGTTTGAGATCTGAGCAGTCAGCTCCGGAACCAATCTGTCTGTCGTGTGTTTCTAAAGTGACACCTACATGTAGAGCACAGCAACATAGCTGGTGCTAACAGCGTCCCAAAAGGATGTTTCTAGTGTAGACATGCTTACAAGCAGAGACAGCAGGACTTCTGGGCTTAGCTGCAGCTGTTAATTTTTGCCTCGTTCATTCTCAGTTTATTTGTATGAGATTCTCTCCGTTTACAGGCTGATTTTAAGATGAAAATATTTGTTGTTTGGGAAGGATTCTTACCAACCTAACCTCTCTACAGACGGCCTCGTGGGGAACACTGGGGTCTTCCAACCTTTGCTTCTACTTAAGGCCTTTCATTGTCAGTTAAAACAACGAGGAGTCCTTGTGGCCCCTTAGAGACTAACACATTTATTTGGGCATAAGCTTTCGTGGGCTAAAACCCACTGCATCAGATGCATGGAGTGGAAAATACAATAGGCGGGTATATATACACAGCACATGAAAAGATGGGAGTTGCCTTATGAAGTGAGGGGTCAGTGCTAACGAGCCAATTCAATTAAGATGGAAGTGGCCTGTTCTCAACAGTAGAATACCAAGGGAGGAAAAGTCACTTTTGTAGTGGTGATGAGGCCAATGTAATCAGGGTGGCCCATTTCAAAGAGTTGACAAGAAGGTGTGAGTAACAGTCGGGGGGAATTAGTTTTTGTAGTGACCCATCCACTCCCAGTCTTTATTCAGGGTATGTCTACACTACGGGATTAATCCGAATTTAGATAATTCGAATTTGGGAAACAGGTTGTATAAATTTGATTGTGCGCGGCCACACTAAGCACATTAATTCGGTTTTTAACCACATTAATTCGGTGGTGTGCGGCCACACTACCCCATTTATTTTAATCACATTAATTCGGTGGTGTGCGGCCACACTAACCCTAATTTGAATTAACAAAATCGATTTTGGCGCTACTCCGCTCGTCGAGGTGGAGTACAGAAATCGATTTAAAGCGCCCTTTAATTCGAACTAAATGGCTCTGTTGTGTGGACGGGTGAAGGGTTAATTCGAATTAACGCTGCTAAATCCGAATTAATCCCGTAGTGTAGACCAGGCCAGAGTCTAATTTGATGGTGTCCAGTTTGCAAATTAATTCCAGTTCTGCAGTTTCTCATTGGAGTCTGTTTTTGAAGTTTTTTTGTTGAAGAATTGCCACTTTTAAGTCTGTTATTGAGTGACCAGGGAGGTTGAAGTTCTCCTACTGGTTTTTGAATGTCATAATTCTTGACATCTGATTTGTGTCCATTTATTCTTTTGCATAGAGACTGTCCGGTTTGGCCAATGTACCTGGCAGAGGGGCATTGCTGGCACATGATGGCATAGATCACATTGGTAGATGTGCAGGTGAACGAGCCCATGATGGTGTGGCTGATGTGATTAGGTCCTATATTTCCAGATTTCACAAAAGCAATTGTTCCATTTTTACTGATTTACAGCCGAATTTGGGACTACTCAGGTACATGAAAATACTGTGTGTTAAGGAAATCCAATCCACTACATTAGGTGGAAGTGTTTATGTTAATAATAAGTCAGTCGAAGTGTTAAAAGCGAGGCTGTCTGTTAAAATAAGGCAATGTAGTGGAAGATGCCCGCATGGGTGAAAATACGGTTAGTGTCCAATTTGTGAAGTAAACCACTGTATTAAACTGCTTTGACTTTCAATACTTTTACTTTTTTTCTATTCGTTGCTTTTTTACTGCCTTCCTGTCTCCCCATAGTAACTCTGATCTTTAGCCTGAAAACTGTTAATTTCGATGTTAATAATCGATGTTCACCCGCTGTTTAATTTTTGTAATACATACTGATAAGTTACCAGGAAAGTTTAGCAAAGTAACAACTGAAATCAAAGGGCCTCGCTTCTGCTTAAGCCCCATCAAGGTCTGAAAAGGCGGGATTCTTCAGCAATGGAGTTTGCCCACATTTGTATTACCATAGTAATGGAGGTTTGAAGTTGTCATAGTGACGGTTGCTTAGGGGTTGGGCAAAGCACCATCTCGCTTATCCTTCTCCCCCATTGGCTTGATCCCCCCTCCTCCCCGCTCCAAAGCCAGGCTACTCTTGGGTCCTAGTGCACCCTGCTTTGCTTTCAGATGATGATGTTGGTGACACCAGAGATGTCCCCTTTGAGCCTTGTCCACCAGAGGGCAGGTTAGCTGAGGCAGTGGTGATAACACCAACGACTGGCCCCCGTTAGGGTTTGCACTATCACTAGCACCAGCCGAGCTGCACCGGTGCTAGTGCAACAGTGGGAGATTCTTCTAAAAATGCTCGTGCAAGAGACAGCTGTGAAGTGTAAAGTTAGGGTCCCAGCTGTGAGCCCAGAAGGACGGTGTGAATCCTGTGTCTTTGGGTAGGTCTACCCTGTGATCGGAGGTTTAAGTGCAGCTCGGGGAGGCATGCCCATTAGGAATACGGCTAAAGAAATCAGTGAAGATGCGGTGGCACGGGCTTCAGCGTGGCCTGTGCGAGCCCATCTGGAACCCTAGGTACAGCCTGTGCCAGGGTCCATGCCACTGCGTCCTCACTGCTATTTTTAGTTGTGCTAGCAGGGTTAGAGGTAGCGCTGGTATGCCTGTCTGAGCTGCAGTTACCCGTTGCAGTGTAGACATCCCTTAGATGCACTATACCTTGGTAGGCAAGAGGGTGCAGTGTAACCTGATTGGGTCAGTATAATGGCCTTTTTGTGCCATTTGCTTCAGTTGCTGTAAATCCTGCTGCCCATCCCTCTGGCTTCTCAGGAGTCCAGGTTGCTAGGTTGAAGCGGCCTTTATTCAAGACAGTGTCGCTTAGTGGGTAGAACAGGACACAGGGAGACGGATTCACTGAGTTCCATTTCCAGCTTCTCCCACCAACTTTGCAGGGTGACCGAGGGCAAGTCACTTTTGTCTTTCTGTGCCTCAGTTTCCCCATTTGTAAAATGGGTCTAATACAATCCACCTGCCAGAGGTGCTGTGTGGCTTCATGAGTCTGTAAAGCACCTTGGGCTCTTCCTGGGCAAAAGGCTCCCGAGAAGGGCAAAGTATTAGTCTGATTCTCCCCACCCGCTAGTGGCAGGGGGCACAGAGAGGGGAGGGGCTGAGGGACACATTTGAGAGTACTGTACTTTTTCAAGCATAGTGTGATTTACAGCAAAATTCTCAGGCCTGGGAGAGGTGCTGGGTTTTCTAGCAGGCTGATTTCTGGACCCTTCTTGGGGGCTTAATCTGTCACATCAGCCTTTGACTAGTAGGAGTCTGATCACTTGGATCCGTGTTCCCTACTAGCTACTGAAAGGAGAGATGCTGCCTGAGAGATTCCCGGATGCTGAGGGCTGGCAGGTGCTGGACTGGATCAGTCTGTCTGTCCCAGTATCCTGTCTCTGACAGTGGACAGCTTCAGAAGAAGGTTCAAGACCAGAGGCGGATGACAGTTTTGTGGGGCCCTGGGCCAGAGCAAGTGGGGGCCCTGCCCCACTCCTTCCACCTGCAGTCCTTCCCCCCCCCGCTGCTGCCAGGGAAATGGGGTCAGACTTCCCCTGCTCCCCAGCAGTAACGTCGGGTGGGCAGAGTAGGGCAAGTCCCTGTTCCCTGACCCCGCTCCCTGGCAGGAAGGCCGGGCGGATGGGCGGAGCGGGTTGGGGTGCCCATTTTTCCAGGGCCCCCCAATTGACTGGGGCCCCTGGGCACGGGCACCGTAGGCCCAGTAGCTAATCCATCATTGTTCAAGACCCCTCCCCTTCAGGGGGCAGATGTGGGGTAAACTGCCCTCCACACTGGGTCTTAGCCCGATCTTTAATAGTTAGAGATTGCCTTAAGCCCGGAAGCGCGAGGCTGAATATCCCTCCCCCAGTTTGCCTTGTCAGTAATGGCAACTGCATAGTCTCCATCCCTGTAGAAATGTCCCCTCCCTGTTTGCATCCTAAATTCTTGGCCTCAGCATAACCCTTTACCCTGTCCACACTCAGCTTTAAAACGTGTCCATGAACGTGTTTTAACACCCCTTGATCCTAGTCTCCCCAAACTCCTTGGGGGCGGGGGCACCTGTAACTGTAGAGCCCACTTCCCCCCTCCTCCCCCCAGCACTCAGGGCTCCTGCGGTGGCTAAAACCAGCCCAGGGCCCGTGTCTCGCCTCTCTGCGGCAGGCGGCTGGGGAGCGCTAGGACCCCAGGGCAGGGAGAGGATGGCCATGAATGAAATCTCCAGGAAGGGGCGGGATCCCTGGGCCGCCTGCCCGCCTCCCGGGCCGCCCTGGGTCTCCCTGCCCGGAGGTCACACGGGGGAGCGGGACTTAACCCTAATCCCGAGTCCCCGGGCGCTGCGCTTTGGGTGCGGAGCAGGCGCTGCCCGGGGAAGAGCCCGTGGGGGGCCCCAGGCGATGGGTCGCTCCTGAGCCGCTAGCAGCCGGGAAGAGGGGCTGGGCTGGGCTGGGCCGGCTGGCGGGGGGCTCGCGGATCTCCCGGGGACCCCCCATGAGCGCCCCCGAGCGCGCAGCGGACGCCGAGCTGAAGCTGGAGGCGGTGATCCAGGTTGGTGGGGTGGTTTCGCTTTTCCGAGGGGCTGGTCCAGCTGCGGAGCCCGCGGCTCGGGTTGCGGGGCGCTAGGCTGAAAGGATCCGGGCAGGGACTAGTGGGAGGAGGGAGCGCCCGGTTCTGGTCTCACTCCGGATCGGAAACTCCTGGGCCGTCCTGGGTTTCACGCGCTTCCTCGCCTTGCAAGCGGAGCCTGTAAGTGTGGCACCGACTCCCCCTCTCCCTGCTGTGGCTCAAGCCAGCCCCGACTTCTGAGCCATTTTACACCTCCCAGGGCCGGGAGAATTGCTGGGGGACCCAATGCCTGATTCGGATTTCACACTGATTTCAGTGGGGCTGCTCGCGATTTACACTGGGGCCAAGGAGAGGCGAATCAGGCCCCTGGTATATTCCAAAGACTCCTCTTTGCCCTTTGTCTTGACTGTTTGGGTAGCAACAGTGTATGAGCCAGTCCTGAAAGGCCTCCTTGAAAATGCTGCTCGCTTGGATTAAGGGTGATCTGCCAAGCTGATGAAGTTTTTTAGGATATATATGTGAAGCTTGAAAGGTTTTTTTCTTCCCCTCCCCGCCTTGTTTTTTAAACCGTACAATATCTGGCATATTATATCTTGCCTTCTCAGTTGTTGCTTGGACAGCTAGAGACAGGGTGGGAGATGTATGAGCCAGTTATTAAAGGGGCGCCCGTGTATTTCACTCCATCCTGGAGTGTTTGTCTCCCAAGCACATGCCAGGCATTGGAGTTATATGAGTGGTTTTTAAAAAAACATTGTTGCTCGGGTTTGATGCTTGTAATCGCATCATCCTCGCAGTTCTCCAGCTGGCTGCAGAGTTCTCCAGTAGGGAAAGAGGCAGAAAAGGGCATGAGCCCAACTTTTCTACCCCCTGTGCAGATCACCCGTCAGCCCCTCGACAGGCTCAAACGGGTGCACACGCTGGCACCTGATTGGATTGCTTTGTATTAGGGCACTATTTTTATCCCCTGAAATGAAAGCTGCAAAGGAACCGAGTTCAGAGGCAGGGCTGGGTCTGACTCCCAAGCCCATTCCAGGCCAGGGAGAGAGTCTCTCTGGACGATACCGTAGAGCTCTCGGGTGTGAGGTGAGCCAACGGGTAAAGGATGCCTGTCCGTATTGCCCTGGCAGGGACGGGCGTGGCGGGGCAGGGAGAGATTAGGTCCGTGTTTGTAAGGGCTTCTTGGGGAGCTTGCACCTAGAAAGTGTTTGCAAAGTGCTTTGCCCATTCCTGGGTTCTGGGGGTGTCACAGCTCTGAACTGCACCCCTGAGTAGCTTGGGTCCAAATCCGGGCTCCTCGTGGGATAAGTGGAGGGGCTGGGGCTTGGTAATGGAACCGGGAGCCTTTTGCCTCTGAGCTCTTGGTTTGAGTCTGAACTACCAGGAGCGATGGGAAGTTGCTTCCATCCTGGTGGCTGTTCAGTGGCCTGTGTAAAGCGAGTGGGTTGGTCTCCAGCCAGGTCCCTAGTGCCCAGATTTCCACACCCCACAAAAACCTTTCTCACCCCCGGCCCCCTTTGCCTCTGCGGTGAGGCCAAGGGTTGAATGGAGGGTGTCACGGTGGGAGCTTGCCCTGGCCGCGATGGACCCACCATCAACCTCTGCGGGCTTTGGATCAGGTCCTACTTGAGGACTTCAGCCTCCTGGGTTGTCAGCCCAGCACTAGAAAGTGAGCGATGGGGTGTGAGGATTGTTCTCGCCAGGGCCAGGAGCTGGAGGCTAGGATCTGGCGCCCCATTGATTGGGGCTGACAGTAAAAATCCTCTTCTCTCGTTCTCAGCCTGACCCCAGTGACTATTGGGTCCGGCCTGGCCCCATGAATCTCCCTTGGGGAAGGGTGGGGTTGATCCCATTGCAGCTGAAACAACCATCCGTCGGCCTTGCTGGTGACAAGTGAAGGGGAAATGACCCAGGAGCCTGACATGGACTTTCCCCTGCGTGATCTGAACCCAGGACAGGCAGGTGGTGACCAGGACCCTAGAGGTGCTGTCGTCCTCCCTGGGAAAGATGCTGCCACGTTTAAGCAAATGAGGGTGGAAAATGGAACCCGCAGTGGCCGGCAGCCTGGGTGTTGCCAGGGATTTTTGTGGCATGTCATAAAGTCCAGTGGATTCGGTTTATTTATTTGTCCCTGACTGAGTCCAATCATGGGGGTGCTGGGGCGCTGATCTCTTACACTAGCATCTTGGGGCCAGGGGCCGCTAAATCTCCCCCTCCCCCCAATATTTCCTTTCCCCAGCTCCTGCTGACATTTCTTTCCTCTGCTGTTCGGGGTGAATTTGGGTATTAGCAATGCAAAGGACCTGTAGGGCAGCCAGGTGCTGTGTAAACCCCCCCATGCCCACCACTGTTCTTGCTGCTCCTCCCTCATCTCTGCCCGGCTCCTCCGTCCTGGGCCACTGCAGGCGTGGCCCTCTCCTGAGCAGGTGCGTGCAGTGAGTTTACAGCATGGGTGGATATGTGATAGGGTGAAACCCACCAGACCTGCAGGATTTGAACCCAGGTCAGCAGGTTGGCTGCTAATCCCCTGGTTCCATGTTGGCTTTGCCTGTGATGTTTCTGGGGACCTGGGTCCAATCCAGCTAGACGGAGTCTTGAGCATCCCAACCTCCTGTCATTGGCCTCTCCACAGTCAGTCACCTGTATCCCAGCCACAGCTGGTTAGGAGGGTTGGGCGGGCTTTGCATTGTGTCTTGATTGGCTGACTGGTGTCTGAGCAGCGCAAGGCTGCCTCCCAGTATGTCTGTCTGGGGAGCAAGAGTTGCAGTCCCAGGGCGAGTTCAAGGCATTTGCCAAGGTGCACAGGGCCACGAAGGGCCAGGAGAAGGCCGTACGGGCTATGGAGACCTCCTGGGGTAGCTCCTGTCCGTAGGGGGAACTAGCGACCGAGTGCCAGGTTGGCAGGCCTGGCTCCCGCGCTCAGCCTGCTGTGTTCGCACCCCACAGAAGCTGGAGAGCAGCGTGCTGACCTCAGGGGAGGGGAAGAGTCTTACCATTCGGGGCAGCTCTGAGGACGCGCCCCCCACCCGCCTGCCCGCCCGGATCCGAGAGATCGTCGCCGAGAACCTGTCGGAGCAGGAGAGCCCAGGTAGGGTTGTGGCAGTCCTGCCCCCCTGCCGTTCTCCGCGTCCATCAGTCTAACCCGCTCCCCGCCGTACCCTACTGGGCTGAGCCTCGTGCTGAGGGAGTGCGTGGGTTCTGCCCGGCCACGCCAAACCACAGCCACCAAGAAGCAGCTTCTCGGCGGGTTCTTGGCCCCTGGTCCTTGCCAGGCTGTGCCCACCTGATGGCTGCACTGGTAGCTTGCCAGGAGCCTCAGGACCATGCCTAGATGGTGTGGAGTGCAGCCGCCTTTGCAGAGACTAGACCCCAGTCTGCAGTGATCCGTCTGGATCCAAGCAGGCCGGCTGCCTTGCTAAATTCCCCATCCCCCATGCAGTGCAAAACGGGTGCTTTAAAGGCTCGTGGCCCCTCCCACAAAACCTCCCTTGCTGTGGGGCTCACCAAACCAGGGGAGAGCTGGGCCACCCATGGCAGCCAGATTGACCCTGTCAGTGCCCCGGGACTGTGCCCTGGTGGAGCGCCCAGTCTGGGTGCCCACTGCCAAAGGTGGTCGCTGATTTAGGCAGCAAAGCAATGCGGCCCAGGGAGGGGCTTGGAGCTACGGCTGCCTTGTACCTCAGTTGATATTCCCCCCCCAGCACCCCAGGACCCACTTTCTTCTCCATCTCTTGGAGCCCAGGGTCCGGCTGTATCCATCAGCCTCCGTCTTCCCACAAAGGGCTCTACGTCTCGTGCTGCCACTGGCCGCTGCCTTGGGAGTCTTGTGTTGAGGGCTCCCAGGAAATCCTGCTGCGACGCTGCCCTGGGCTCGGGAGGAAGGGGACAGGGCTGGGCTGGCCCCACCTCGCTCTGTGGCACCGACGGGTGCGTCACGTGGAACGTGGGTGATCACCCATGCGGCCGCGTCTAGTATTGTGGATGTCAAGGCCTTAAACAGGGGCGATCTGGACCTCTGCTAGGAGAACCACAGGACCAGCTTCTTCTCCAGGCAACCACCTCCCTGTGGCTCTGGGGTGGGCGCCCCCAGCTGGGCGCTGATGCCCGTCCTGCCCTGCTCTGCTACGGCTCTCGCTCTTCTCCCCGCAGCAGCCTGCCCTGGGGAGATGTCGTCGCTCCTCTCCCTCCAGGAGGAGAACCGCCTCCTGCAGCAGGAGCTGTCCCGTGTCGAGGACCTGCTGGCGCAGAGCCGGGCCGAGCGCGATGAGTTGGCCATCAAATACAACGCCATCAGCGAGAGGGTAGGTGTGGGAAGCCGTGCCTGTCCGGATGGGGGTGGATCCTCCCCCCCCCCCCGCCCCCGGGTCTGTGTTCAGGCAGGCACCATCGGATGTGCTGTGGCAGCTCCCACTGAGCTCTGTGCTCAGGGAGAAGTCCTTTGTGCCAGAAATGGGGCTCTGCCATGGCGGGGAGGGGAGGTCGTCATTGGAGCTGGGCAAAACTTTTCATCTGAAACTTTTTTTGGCAAAAAAAAAATGAAGAGTGAGGTCGACTGAAACATTCTGCAGATTCCGGTCGATTTCACCAAAGTGTTTTGGTTGAAGCGGACGGTGTGTGTGTGTGTGTGTGTGTGTGTGGGGGGGAGGCGGAAACACACTGAAAAAAATTCTGAAAATGTCAGAACGTTTCCTTTTGACGTTTTCCAAACGAAACATTTCAACTTTTCACTTTGAAATGCCCTCGAATTTTATGACAAAAACATTAAAGGGAAAATAAGAACATAAGAACGGCCAGACTGGGTCAGACCAAAGGTCCATGTAGCCCAGTGTCCTGTCTTCTGACAATGGCCAATGCCAGGTGCTTCAGAGGGAATGGACAGAACAAAAAATCTTGTTTTTTCAGGTGACCCCAAAATAACTAGAGACCCCCATTTTTTTGGCATTACCAGCAGTGAACAGAACAATCTGTGATTTGCCCAGCTCTAGTCATCAGGACTTAATGAGGTGCAGTAGGGCAGTTGAGTCTGAAGAAACATCCTCCCCCCCCACCCCCCCGGGGTCTCCTTGGAGCCTCTTCCGCCTCCAGTGCCGGTGGTGAGGGTGCGTGTGCAGGAGGCCCATGCACTGGGGATGGGGCCCTGTGTGTTCTGGCTTGGAAGCCAATCTCCTGGGTTCAATTTGGTTTTGCGTCTGGTCTCTTGGGGTTGGTGACCCCCATCGCTTCGGGACTCTTCCCCGGCCGGTGTGCTCAGAACATCTCGCCTTGTCTTAAGCCCAACTCTTCCCCTTCATAGAATATCAGGGTTGGAAGGGACCTCAGGAGGTCATCTAGTCCAACCCGCTGCTCAAAGCAGGACTAATCTCCAGACAGATTTTTGCCCTAGATAGCCCCCTCAAGGATTGAACTCACAATCCTGGGTTTAGCAGGCCAGTGCTCAAACCACTGAGCTATCCCTCCCCCCATAGAGGGATAGACACATTGAAACCAGCTGAGCCCTGAGATCTGGTTAGGAACCAGGGAATGGCTGTCCTCAGGCAATGGCGCTCCTTTGGCACTGCCTCGCTAGGGGGGCCCGTGCATATGCATGCCTGGCTGCTCTCGACCTCCTGCTGGGCGGAAAGTCCCAGCTCTCTCGCATTGATGTGCCAAGAGGGGAACGAATGATAGCACGTCTCTCCTGGGCTGTAGCCCGGAATGCACTTAGAGTTGCCCCCCCTCCAGGATTGCCCTGGAGTCTCCAGGCATTAGAGCTTAATCTTTAATGAAAGGTTATGGCATGTGATGAAACCTCCAGGAACATGTCCAAGCAAAACGGGCAGCCCACAATGCAACGTGTTTCCCTGCCGGGGGGTCCCGTGCACAGCGGCACGTCTGGGGCAGTGACCCGGTGGAATACACAGGTTGGCTGATTCTGAGGGAAGTTTTGTGTGTTCTTGTCCACGCCAGGATCAGGGGCCTGTCTGGGCATGTTCTTGCAGGGAATGTGACCGGGGCTTGCTGGGACTTGCCCCAGAGGAAATAAAAGGCCTGGTGGCTAGTGGTTGGGATAGCAGCCGGTTGGTGTCCTTGGCACTCACCTTGGGGGTGGGGTACTGACCTGCGCCCGACACAGCCGGGCGGGCCGCGGGGGTTAAAGCACAGAAAAAGCCCCTTCCAGTGACACTGAGCGTCTGATTTCAAACCAGCAGCTACAATGGAAGCTCTGAATCCCGTCCTTTGTGCGACTCTGGCCGCAGCGAAGGCCCTGAGGGGGAAGTTGGGCCAGAGGGACCCTCCCACTCCCAACTCCCGCCCGTCGGGCTGCTTGAATGGAGGTTTTGTTGCTGGATTTCTCCAAGTGCAGTAACAAATCTCTGTGAAAAGCACTTAGGTCGGAGCCCCTTGGTGGGCTCCGGCCCCCAGGGGAGGGAGGGTGGTGGGCGGATGCTCTGGCCCCCAGGGGGGAGGGAGGGTGGTGGGCGCTGGTTGCGTGTATGTAGATAGCACCTGTAGTGCTGTATGACAGCTGAACTGCACCCAGCTAATAACACGCTGTGCAGAGGACTTTGCATGAGTAGATTGCAGAATACACCCCAACTGAGGGGTGATCGCAGGAGCTGGAGGTTGGGAGTTGTTTGAAGGAGGGGACCGGGGTGGTATTAGGCTGTTCCCAAGTGCGGGGCAGCTGGAGAAGGGAGAAAGTTTGGAGTGGGGAAGGGGACTTGGCTCACCGCCCCAAGAATGACCCTGTCTGCGGCCATTGATTCATAGATTCATAGATTCTAGGACTGGAAGGGACCTCGAGAGGTCATCGAGTCCAGTCCCCTGTCCTCATGGCAGGACCAAATACTGTCTAGACCGGGGTGGGCAATCTTTCAGAAGTGGTGTGCCGAGTCTTCATTTATTCACTCTGATTTAACGTTTCGCGTGCCGGTAATACATTTTAACATTTTTAGAAGGTCTCTTTCTATAAGTCCATAATATATAACTAAACTCTTGTTGTATGTAAAGTAAATAAGGTTTTAAAAATGTTTAAGAAGTTTCATTTAAAATTAAATTAAAATGCAGAGCCCCCCGGACCCGTGGCCAGGACCTGGGCAGTGTGAGTGCCACTGAAAATCAGCTCACGTGCCGTCTTTGGCACGCGTGCCATAGGTTGCCTACCCCTGGTCTAGACCATCCCGGATAGACATTTATCTAACCTACTCTTAAATATCTCCAGAGATGGAGATTCCACAAGCTCCCTAGGCAATTTATTCCAGTGTTTAACCACCCTGAAAAAATACCTAGACAGTCCAAGTCCCCTTCCCCACTCCAAACTTTCTCCCTTCTCCCGCTGCCCCTCACTTGGGAACAGCCTAATACCACCCCAGTCCCCTTGGTATGTACTTGGGGCAGCTAGCCCCTTGTGCCGCTGAGGCTACGTGTCTATATTTAGCACGCTAGCTGGATTGGAGCTAGCGCCGGTATGTCTCCTTGAGCTAGAACTGACCCCTTCCAGCTCCAGGGTAGATGTACCCTTAGTTAGCAGGCGCAGGAGGAGGTCAAGGCCGAGATGCAGGCAGGCTGGAGAGCTTCGACCCTGCGGAGGAGAAGCGCAGACTCCGTGGGGGGGTTGCCAGGGATCCCATGAGAAGCAATGATCAGCACTGCAGGGGGGCAGTGATCTCAGCGGCGTGGGGCGGGCTGGAGGGGGGTTGACGGCAGAGGGTGATGAAGGAGAGGAGAGAGCTGCATGGTGTGAAAGTGGAATACCAACCACTACAAGGCAGTGGCACCAATTCAGATATTTTTTGAGGGCAGTGCAGGAACCGACTCCCCAGACGCCAGGTCGCAGTACCGTGTAGCCCGGCTGCCCCTCCATCTGTACGGAGGGGTGACCGGGTCAAATGTCTGTATGTTGTGACCACGCAGCTGCGGCAATGCTCTGGCAGCAGCCACACTGGGTTAGTCTGGGATCGTTGCGGAAAGGCATTCCTACAAGGCTCTGGGGAGAGAGAAAGCAGCGAATGGCCCCCCTGGCTAGATGGCCGGAGAGAGGTTTGATCCCAGGCGCTGTAGATCGATGCGCGAGGAGCTCTTTGTGAACTCCGAGCGTCACGCGCTGTGAGCTGGGAATGGGGCAGTGATTGATGAGCCCTAGCTCGGTCCGAATGACGGCAGATTCTTTTCTTCAAGGCTAAACATGGGAGCGGCGGTTATCTCTGGCTTCGCTGGCCTGGGAGCGCTTGGCATAGCTCGCTTCAGTGATGGTGGCTGTGTGTCTGTCCTTATGGAAATAATAATAATAAACCACAGCTCTGGGATAGCGCTTGTCATCGGTAGATCTCAAACCATGAAGTCAGGATCATTATCCCTCTGTGCGGGTGGGGAAACTGAGGCACAGAAGGGGGAAAGTGACTTGCCCAAGATTACCCAGCAGGCCGGTGGCTGAGCCGGGAACAGAATGCAGGTCTCCTGAGTCCCAGTCCTGTGCCTGATCCGCTTGGCCTCTCCAGTGGCAACCTTCCTCTTTGCTAGCCCAGCCCATCCCTGGAGGAACATGTTACCTTTCTCAGTCACTATTTCAAGTGCAGTCCTGGTTGGTGGTGATGGGCAGGTGCTACCATCTGGTGCTACTGCCGTGGCCCGTGTTACAGCACTTGGGGATGGGTCTCTGTCCGTTTCTGAGTGGATGAGTGTCCCCGTCGTGAAATCACCATCACAGCTGGCGCTAACTAGCCCCTGCTGTCAGCACAGGGGCCAAGGGCAGAGCAGAGCTGAGTGCCGCAAGGCCGGGGGTGAGAGCAACAGCGGGGGACAGCACGTCAGTGGGGAATTGTGCAGCATAACCCGGCACCTTTATATTCCAGACCCCCAAATTATGGGGCCTGGCGGCGTCTGTGCACTTGTACCCCAGAAACTGACCTACCCTGTGTGTGGGGGGGGAGCAGGGGCTGTGGCAGGGAGGCGCGAGCCCCCTCACGGTTTCTCATCTTCTTTTGAGGCAGCATTTTGGGCTAGCGACAGCCCTGGTGACCGTGGCAACGGGGCAGAAGAATGGAAGGAATCCCTGGTTGCTAAGGCAGCAGTTGCTAGGGGAGATGGTAAACTTTGTTCATTCCAGGGCCTGAGCCTTTAGAAAATGCAGAATACGTAATAATACTAATAATGAGATGAGCAGAGAGGTGGGGTGGGGTCACCTCTTGGGCAGTTTATTCCAGACTCCACCAAGCTGGGACGATATAAGCAATTGAGAATAGCCACGAAATACCAGCGGGCCGGATCTTGGTGCCACTGACGGAAATCTCTTTGGGAGCAGGTTGGCCCTGCAGTTGGGAAT